TAATAGTAATAATAAAAATGGTAATAATAATAGTAATAATAATAATTATTATTATTATTATTATGATAATAAAAATACACAGGTGAAAGTGCTTATATAAAGTTATTTGATCACAGAAAGAAAACTAAGACATCCACTATCCGATATAAATAGAAAAGAAAAATACACTCTACTACATTATCAATAGACTATCAATATCTTGAGAGACGGAAACGAAACCCTTCGTTTCGAACATTATTTACAGCAACTCGCTGTCTTCCCATTGCGTGTGCTTGAGCAAGTTAAACGAACGCTAAGGTCGCACTAATGAATGGGGACATCGAGAGTCGTCTTCCTTAAAAAAAATGAAACGCGCCAAGCGGCGGGAGCAATCGACCGCTTCGCTCATTACGCGACGAGAGGCTCCTCCACGCCCCTTCCCCTTCCACGCCACTCCCCACCCTCTCACCCTCTGCACCTCTGCTGGGAATGGTCTCTTGCTCTTCCATGGCTCTCTGAAGTTTCGCCTTCCTGTATCACTGCTGCTTCTGGCCGTCACCAATACGTTCATGACGTCACTATTTTTGCCATCAACGGTGCCAATAACCTACGTGTCGCCACCACTGCCAACACCGCCGGTTGCCCTACGTACCTGAATGTACCCCAGTCATTTCTTAAAAGCTTAAAATTGAATAGCGCACACTTTACCATAAATTAGTCGCTAAAATAAAATTGCCGGGGTTTTGTTGTTTCAGAAAAGCTAGTGTTCGTACCAATCTACATTGCAAACCATTACACAAAATCGTTTAACGATTTAAAGATTTTACCGCAAAACCTGTTTGAGAGTCCCATTAGATAGCCATTAATGGGCGGTGAAGGGATCGGTTATTATCTGAATTGTCGTTGAAGTGTTTGAAATCCAGGATTTGTAAGAAGGTATCTCCGCATATTTGGAAAAAAACACCATAATCAGAAATCGTCACATGTTCACGTGGCCTAGATAAAAAAGTAAGGGATATTAAAAAAGGCAAAAAATGCTTACCTTTCGGTTGGTTAGTTGTAAATTTGGAACGACAGAAATTTTCTGAGGAAATTTTTTTAAAGAAAATCTGTGTTCTCCTATAGAACGCTTCAGACGAAGCTAACCTCATTTCAAAATCAATATGAACATTAGTTCGTAAAATCGCAGACTTTTAAAAATGTTAAATACTAAATCAGGGCAAGGTAGGTTTACTATTGTCCCCGATGCTATCATCTCAGTTACCGTTGTCCCATTACAGCCGTTACAGTGATAATCGTAAGCGTTTGTTCGTGCCTGTTACCATCGTTACCCTTACTAACGCTACCGCTACTATCGTTACCGTAACTATCGCTACAGGACATTCAGGGCAGGCGTTAGTGCAACTGTTTACTACCATCACCATTGTATAATCGCCCTTACTAGGGAATGCCGCGGTGTGACGTGTCGAAATATGCCCTCACATTTTATTCATCGAATTTACATACCCTTCGGATACCACGATGTAAATTTTGGCTGCCGATACATACTGCCAATTAGTTTTAAAATCTTCAAATTTGCCATCATTTTCGTACTATTTTTCGTTTCTATAGAGAACTTGGACAGACCTCGCAAGCCGTGCGGCGAGCGCGCGGGCGCCGAGGTTGGCCTTGTAGAGGGTTGTTTCCTCAAGGTCAAATGACATTCGGTGGGAGCAGGCCATTCCTAGTACACTCAATGCTTTTCTTATTGTAAAAGTCCATTTTATTTGAGATTTTATTTATTTCCTTACCAATGAACGTGTGTTACTTTTTTCATAATGAACATCGTCAATATGCATAATTATGGAGTATTGAAAACTTATAGCATATAATTACTATATCACTTTATATTTAAATTATGTAAAGAAGCAAATTAAGAGTTGTTTTGTGAATCAAATTCCTTTGTTATGGCCTCATTTTGATTTTCTGTTAGCAAAAATTACCGTTCTTTAATTTGTGCCTATTCATCTTTGCACACCTACTTTGCAAGTTCCGAATGACTTACAACTTTACTTTTACTTTACCAGTTCGCACCGACCTTTCGCGTGTGATTACACAACTGACCTGTTTGGCAGTAGACGCAGACAAGAGCTCTCAAATTTGAGAGGAAAGAGTTCCAGGGGACGTAGCTCATATTGGATGGAAGATGAGTGATTGTGGCAAGGTTTATCACCACGAAACGTATTTGTTACATAAATGAACAACAGATGAAACTAAAATTCGGAAAATCTTCTATCAGTAGTTTAGACTTTGTATACTTAATATTCATGTTATTGGTTTCATTATTTTAGCTGCTAGGAGGGGCAGCTGCCTCCCCGCCTGCCCCTCGCAGGAAACGACCTTGGAAGCTGCCGCGGAGTCTGCTGCTTGCGGTGAGCAGTGGCATTGAATCACAAGCGAGCGCCCTGGGTAACACCTACTTTGCAGGGTTGGCCATTTTTACATCAGTGAAAGCATAGTGTCAATTTACAAATTCAGGATGTTTTTTAATTGACTTGAAGTGTGTAGAGGTACCCAAAAGTTTGATCGTGCGATTAATGCGGCATGTGCTTCCGATGAAAAGAAGGGTTAGGACAGGATGAGAGATGTCACATCGCGGCATTCCCTTGTTAGTTCCGCCATCGCATCTGTCAACGCCGTCACTCATTTTATCGCCCGTCATACAGTCCAGTAAATCGGTGCAAATTGGTCAAAAAGGCCAATACAGGAGAAAACTCCGGAAGCTTTTCTCAACGGTTGTATGTTTTTAATGGTGGTTAATTCGAATTTGATATTTGCCACCTCAAAAAAGTTGGCTTCTCAGAGAAAGAGGCAAAGATATCCTAAAAATTTCGCCCTGTTTTTTAGTTATTCGCTTATATCTTCAAAAGTATGCGTTTTTTGCGAGTGTTATTTACAAACTTAAAGTAATACAATTTATTCCAAAATGAGTACTCTATTGGTATTATGCTACGTTTTTGTTGGCATTTACAATGAATTACAATTGTTTATTACAATAGCAGCTTTCGATGGCTTAGCCATCATCAGTTTTGGCAGTAGTCGCCGTAGTCGTTTTTGTGGCTTCCAGAAAACTGATGATGATGGATAAGCCATCGAAAGCTGCTATTGTAATAAACAGTATTGTTGGCAATGACGACTCATATAATTATTTCATGTGTACTTTAACTTTAAGTTTCTGAAAATCGTTTAGACGCCAGAGCGCTCTGAAAAACGGCTATTTTTTGGCTCTCTGACCAAAATGGGAATAGAGCTCTTTCCAGCCATCCTATCTCACGGCATCGCACTAGTTTCACTTTATCATAGTTGAAAACAACTATTGTGAACAAATAATCCACATTGTTAAACGATTGACACTCCGAGCTTTAACTGTATTTGGATGTGGAAGAAAATCACCGTTAATCACATTTATCAATTTGTCAATGTTAAATTGGTATTCCTTGTCACTGTTTTCAAGAAATTTAAAAACAATATGCATCGCTGATTCTACTGTCTATGATTTATGCTCCTGTCCTCTATGGGAGCTGGTGCAGTGATTTCATGCACATCAAATAACACTTTGCATCAACAGCTACCAAGTCATTTACTGCCTCCAAGCGAGATAATATAGAACGTCCAAAATCATCATTACGATTTCTCGCGAGTCATAAACCAGTTTCTCTAACAGCTAATTTCCTCACAAGGTACAATATTAGATTGGGATTTGAGAGAGTCTTTTTGATTTATATCTTCGCAAAGTCTCGTGGTATTTCCATTACACAAATAGAACAAAGAGTTTTGAAGACAAAGTGAGGTATGAGTGACCAAGTGAGATGGACGCAGTTGTGTCAGTTCAGCCTCTTGTTGAGCTCTCTTCACATAAGTGGAAATCAATTATTTATTTACATGTTGCCTCCTATACTTATTGTGGGCTTTGATTTCTGAGATACATTTAAATTAAAAATAACACCCTGTCGTCTCTCAATCGCTTCAATGAAAGATTTCATAAAAGTTCTCTGCGTTCCATCTTCGAACGTTTTTTCACAAATAGCTCAGTCCCTGCGAGCCATTGTGAACATATAATAAAACTGCAAACATCACAGGTTCATATTATTTTACAATGAGTCCGTGAGGTGGCATACTGAGTTATCGCTGAAGAGTTAATCACACGCCGGTGCGTAATATGGGTGATTTTTCAGGTACCCCGAGCATGAAATACTTCGTGGAATAATACTCGTATACTAGTTATATCTTTCCAACATTTTCTATGAGGTTCTGCATATCACGCGCGAGAATCGGAATTTACTCTATCGCTATCCTTTCTTGGGAATTATATAGTATATTCCTATCGGACATTTGCTGCAGTAGTATAAGTTGGTCTGGATTGCATAATGTGGTGTTAAAAAATCTATCTTTAGAATTACAGCTAGAGTAGATGAGGCAGCAGGAAAAGAGAGAGTAGGTTTAAAAAAACCTACAAATCGGAGTACAAATTGGGGTACAAATCGGAGGTATCGCGTCTCAGTAAATATTATTCTCGCTCGCACCAGGTGTCGTTTTCTATTGCAACGTTAGACATGTACATCTGTGCATGATAGACATGAACATCTGTCATTGTAACTCTACTCTACGGTTTTTAAAATAATATGATTATTTATTGCTTTCTCCAGAGACAATTAAATCATTATCAGCAAATCACTGACTTGCATATCTTGTATCCACGTCAGCAAATGGCTAATAATGAGATGACTAATATTTGTAATTGAGAAAACAAAAATCACATTAAAATGATGTATTTAATGATTAAATAATATTAAATGTAATATTTCTTTTAAGATTCGAATGACAGCCTTCAACCAACTTTCACCTTTCCGTATATTAACACCGAAACACTGAAAAATCTTAAAAATCGCCCGCCGTTTAACGCTATCAAATTGGCAACACTCTTTCCAACCCTTCCACCTCACCCCTCAGGACAGAAGGTGCGACCCTGCTCGAAGTCAGTTTGCTATCAGTTTGCTACGGTTTACTACCCGCAACGGTCGACAGCGGAGCAAGGCGAGCTCACGCGGCCGTGTTCGTGACAAAATCTTCATTAAAATCTCGCTGCCCGCAACAAGCTGCATCTCCGAACTATAACTAATTAGTGTATTCGCAAGTGAGTGTTATCATGTTGCTTGCAACACGCGGCAGTTACGGTTTGTGCATTGAACGTTTGCTTGTGAACACGCGGTAGATCAAAATCTTTGCCAGCCAGTGCATGGTACCAATGAATGGTAGCATTCTCGGGACTCGCAACCAATTGAAACTATACTAATGCAAACAAGATGGTCTGCTAATCAAGAAAGTGCAATTGGAATCTTGAAAAATCATCGTGTACTATTTCGAAGCGCCTTCTTGCCACCTCGCGCCGAACCAGCAGCCGATGGCAGACTGGGTCGCCCGTTACATCGCCCTTCTTCACGCAGCTGCGGGCCGGCCTTCAACGCTCACCTCCAGAGATAAGTAAGCAATTGCCACATCAAATCTACCCAAACTACGGATTCCACTACGTTTCCAATATATCTAGCCAGTTCTCAACATTTTATCATTAAATGTTAAATCTAAAGTTGCATCCATATTAACAGTTTGCGTAAACTTCATTGTGTCTACTAGTGCAAAATGAACATGAAAACATTTTTCGTGTAGTTAACTCAATATGCTCATTAATTCAGAGAAAAATCGTTGATTTTTTTGAATGTTAAAAGTATGCGTCAAAATAAAACTACACGTCCACCAATGAGAATTCAGAAAGGGTGTAAAAGGGCACTATAATGCATACTTGACAAAGATATTTATAGTCGGCAATAAAACATGAACAAAAATGTTCATTACAGATTAGGCATCTACCAGGGGCGTGTATTCCATAGACGCAGGCTAAGCACTGCTTACCCAAATAATTGGAAGAAACGTTCTACGGTATTTACAACAGTATTTTACAACTATAAAGAACAAAAGGAATGTTAGACGTATTTCCATTGTAGCTTCTACGCTAAGGGAAATAGTATTTTCTCTTTCTGTCACTCTTTCTATCCCATCCCCCACCATCACTCCGCATTTTGCTCCGTTCTCTGTATCTCGTTTGACCTTGAGGAATGGGTGTCCTGTCTCAAGGTCTGATGTTCTTTGGCAAGGGTCCGAAATCATAGGGACTGCAGACCCCTTTCGTTCAGTTCGTGTGCGTTCGTTTAACAGCGGCTCCTTATAATGCCGTGATTTTAATAATAATAATACGGGAAAGCGCACAATGTGCATAGTTTATTCTTTTTACTGTTTGATATAGAGAATGTTGAGGAAGTCAAAATGTTACACTTTCACTGTGCAACCACTTTCTGGATGTCTCCTTATCGCGTTCACTACTGCACCGCGAGTTTCACCAGTTCCATTTGCTTTTCTTATTCCGTGCTGATCGTGGAGATGGATGTGTTCCTTTTTTCTGCATTGTAAGGCATGATACCTCACACCATTCACACACTCTTTCTCTCTCTCTCTTTCTCTCTCTCTCTCTCTCTCTCTCTCTCTCTCTCTCTCACACACACACACACACACACACACACACACACACAAACACATACACATACTGGTTGTTTGGATCATGAACACTTTTCGTTTTACGTGTTTTATGGTGAAATCCGTGCACCGCAACCTTGCCACCGAATATCTTAGGTCCCATCCATTCCCTTGTGGTCATTGCTTCCGTTGTGTAAAATTCTTCCCGTATTTCTTTCTTTTTTTTTCTTAGTTGTTTAATTCTTCGAGGTGTGGTGTGTTCAGTACAAACGCTGTGATTTTGAAACATTTATAGTAAATTGAATACGTGTTAACGACTTATGTGTTTAGTGTCTGCATTTTTAAATCAATTATTGGCAATTTGCATGACTGTTGCTAACATTAAAGTCCGTACTTACAAAGGTAAGCAATTCTCGGTGTTGCGTAAGTGAACAAAATGGATCTACGACTTGCAAATGCAAGAGATACTCAATACAGTAATACATGTGACTCTATTGTGGAGAGATTTTTATATACTTTATTTATTTAACGTAATTTCTTGTAGTTTTGCAGCGAAGAAACAAATAATTTTTAACGGAAGGCCCACACTTGAGTTAAAAATAAGAATTCAAGTGAAATATATCTTTTCAGAAGCAATACGTCATCAAAATATACATCGAAAGGTAAAGATGTGCTTGAGTTTTTCCAAAATGTAAATTATTTTTAAATACAAACGAAAAAATATTGAACCTAACATGAATATAAAGGGATGTAATTGCACTCGTGGTATATAAGACAACTACCTTCCTTAAGTTAGCAGGACTGTTTTAGCAGAAACAATATTCACTATAAGCACACACTATATATTAAAGGCTAGTTATAGGCTACGTTAGTGCCCTTTTGACTTTTTATGATTAAATGATCTAATTTAAGAGCGTTTATTAGCTTTCAATTCCCTGATGATTGTTTTATAATTCTGATTAGTTTTTTAGTGTTTTGAAAATGAGCCCTGCTATCTTTTGTATATAATTAGCAGGACCATTCTTTAAAAAAATGAAAAGCCTTAAATTCTCGAGTAAGGCACTTAATTAGCATATAACTAGCCTTTAATTTTGCATGTAGTGATTTTAGTTTCTGCTAAAAGGTTCCTGCTAACTTATGGGATGTAAGAAAACTCGCTCCTATCGTTGCTCGTGTTCTAGAACATACATCTCATGCAATTATCCCCCTCTTTATACACTCGTTTCGTTAATTAAAATAATGTAATGAACAATTTTAATATCAATATAAATCTAAGCAAAAGAAAAGGCACTTCATCTAATAAATCCTATTTAAAATGTCATGCATCAATGCAAACTATGTTAATCATTATCAAACTACTCATGTAAAGCTATTAATTAGTTCAATTAGTTCGTAGAATCATCTCGACCCCTTTCACTATCATTTTCAGTGTTCATAAGTAAATGGAATCTAATATATTTCATCTAGTAGATTGAAAACTAAAATTCTTTTAAAGTTTATTTGCATCCAAGGTTAGCAGTATTAACTTATTTCAAGAAAGAAAGCATTTGAAATGAACGGTTAAAAAAAACCTTTCTATGCAAACATTTTAGAAACAAGGCAAAATGATAAGGTTTTATAAATTCTTCAAAATTTACAATTTTTGTAATTCGTGTTCAACTACCAAAAGCCTTTAAATATAATGATTACAAAAAAGGCATTATCCTAAAATCTGATGAGTGGTCATTATCACCAGCATCACCGTTGGCAATATCACCTGTCTCTACACACATTTGTTACCTCCCTGTTTCAACACCCAAGTTGTGCCCATTGTGACTCTCACCGGCGACGCCACTTTAAAAGCTGCCTCTGGTCGCCTCCACAGTCGGTGACTTCATCACCCAAATTCCATGTCGTTGGAACATTTCGTCGTTTCGCCTCGTCGGTACAAAAAGATTCTTCGTGGCTCGCTCTGCCGTTTCCATTCCCCCTTTCCTCTGCCCCTCCTTCCTCTTCAGCTGAGCATCGCTCCCGACCCCCTCTCGAGTGGGGCTCCTCCCCTTGCCCCCCCCCCACATCCCCACCTTTTCCTCGGCGTCTGGTAATCTGCGAGTTTTGAAACACTTTGCGCCTGGAGATTTTCTCATTAAACCGGGGATAACGCAGCCTGATTTGCGCGTATTGCTGCACCCAAACGGCGCTCTCTCCCGCTGCTCCACTCGGCTGCGCGGCGCTGTTATTTGCAGGTTTGCCAACAGAGCGGGGCAAACGTTTACAGAGAAGACGAGCGTTATTTGGCTCGTTCTTGGTGAAGCCGTTGAGCGTTAATACGCAAAATATATTATGTTTTAATTTCGCTTGTAAGCAAAGGACCATGGATAAGGCGGTCAAATTTGTATTCTTAATTTATAAAAAAAAAGAAGAAAATACAGGATCAATATTTGGAAAACGATTCGGAACTATTTAGATTTAAAAATACTGTACCCCTTAAACAAGTTCTGTAATTAGTCTGTCTAAAAGCATTCTAAAAATCTTCTTTGAATGGAAGGAAATATATTCATTACGAATCGTGTTGTGCTCTCGGGAAGAGTGTCATAACCTTCAAGCTTTTATAGTGATAAATTGACACCAGCGTTATTTATCGTAAACGAAATTAACCTCAACAATTTGCAATAAAACGTCGGAGATATGATAATTTATAGAGGAACGTGTGCTAAACTGGACTGCTTTCAATAAAGCGGGTCCCCGGTCTCCTAGCTCTGCATTCACCTGGACTCCGGGCTGAGTGTAATTCGTAGTTAGGGCTTGGGTCACTGTATTCAGGGAGGGCAACCACTTCACTTGTTTGCTACTAGTCCGCCATGAGGTATTTTGCTAGTGAAAGAGATTTTTGTTCCACATTCAAAATGTTCCACATTTTTCGTCATTTGTCTTATATATTGGAAGATACACTTCTTGACCAATATATATTCTTAAATGGCTAAGGTTTATCATTAAACCATTTAATTTAGATGTTTGTTAAAACAATTAGTGTTAACAAAATGTAGACTATAAGCCTTAATCTTTAGTTGCCTAAACCGGATCCCTGATTACACTCTTATTCTGTTGGAATTCTGTTTCACAGAGTACAGTTTGCCAAGAAGTCTACAGAGACAACTCATTTGATCCTGAGAAGGTAGGCTTCCGGGGCCGGAGCCAGTATTTAATAGGCTGTCCGGGTGACGCCGCGTCCATGGCAAAGGTGCCGACGTTTCGGTCGCCATTCTGCGACTTTCCTCAGGACGTAATGTACCTTTGCCATCGATGCGGCGTCACCCGGACAGCCAATTAAATATCATTTGATCCTTTGTACAGAGCTAGCCGTGGATTTAGATTGCTGCGAGGGCATTACGTTCTGGCTTGATTACTCTCCCTGTTTTATCCTCTTTCAAATACTACGTTTGTAGGGAGTAAAAATAAGATCAATTATGATTTATATTGAATATTATTGGAAACTGCTCGTTAATGGACGTGTAGACTTTTGGTGTCTCATAAATATTATGTCACTTATCTCATAAATATGTTACCGAGAAGGGTGAATAATTATCATTTAGATATCACAAATAATAACTATGAAACAGGTCATTAATCGCATGACATCATTTGGCCTTTGCTTGGACTTAAGGAGCCCCCACACTTGGAGAGCTTCCTTCAATCGGAGATCTCAGGAGGAAGAGAGCTTCTTCTTCGCAATGAGAGACAAGGCGTCTTTGAAGCTAGTGTTCTACCCAGTGTGTAAATAGTTAGAAAGTGTCAATTAAGTGAACGAATTAATAGCGGTAGTATGTTTCTGAAGAGGGGAGAAAGAACGTAATTTGCGCGAACTACTTTAAATCGAGCATACAACACCTATCGATTTGCGAAGGCATATGCGTGTGCACTTGTATAGAAGACACATTATTTGGTTTTATCTTCTGGGTTTTCCCCAGCACTTTCGGTTTTACCATTTTTTCTGTGAGTTCCGAGTGCACGGTGTATGGTAATCCCGTGCGCAAGCCTGCTTCTTACCGGCGTGTGAAATGCCTTATGCACCTTGTAACGCGATGATTTAGTTGAAAAAAATGTCAATAGATATTTGTTCCAGGGAGGAACTAAAGCCTCCTTCCGATCCTTATGGTTACATTAGAAACGTGTTTCTCTTCTGGCCTCGGGAGTGCTATGAGAATTGAGTGATTACTACTCGAAAGGAGGGCTCGTTGCGAGTGTCACTTCTGAACGATCAGTTTACGTCAGTTAGCTGAAAAGTCGGTCAACGACATAGCTATCAACTCAAACAGTACGTGAGGAGGACTTTCGTCTCGTGCGTTCTCTGTGAAACTGCCTCTGGTAAGAACGAAGCGCCAAGACACGCGGTGTTCAAGACCCGAGCGCTGCAAACTCAATACTCGACGCCGACGCGCGCCCAACGCAGTGGGCCGGAGCTGTGGAGGAGAGGGCAGGGGTGCGCGGCCCGCCGGCGTCCGGGGGCCGCCGCATTGCGCCGTCCACAGCAATCAGCACTGCGGGCGCACGGTTCGTTAGGCCCCGCCAGCGGGGCGGGGGGCGGAAGCGGCGGCTGCCGAGCGCGTGTGCGTGCCCCGTGACACGCGCCGCGGCTTGATCGAAATGTAACGGCCCCCACCGCCCCCGGCCCCTCTGCTCTTGCGCCTTTTGGCACGAGGCGATTGCCGCGGCATTATGGGCAGTTTGCTAAGGAAACGATTCACTGTTCATTCGTTTACGAGGTATATGCTATTTTCTGACCTCGAAAAAAGGATTCAAAAATATCTAAGTAACATCTTCCGTGTGGGTATTCGTATGTTAAAGGTATTCATATTGATAAATGTTCAATATTCCATAACGATAAACTCTATTATGGTATAACTGAGGCATGACTTTTTTTTTCTCTTTTTTTAAATGATCGCTTTATGAAACATATTTTTTACAATTATAGATTGATAACATCATGTAATCATGGAAAAATGTTTTAAGGAGAGCTCTGTTTGATGATCGGCTGATTACATTACAGAATCACATATAAAAAATTGAAATTATTATCGATTTGAAGAGGAATAATACTCTTTCAAGACAGTTGTTGGTTGTTCTTCAGAATTCTTAGACTTAGTGACATTGTACTAAGTCTTAGTGACATTAGTGACATTGACATTTCTGGCTACTCAACTTCATCAAAAGCAGCCCTCTGTTACAATATGTATTAATCTTGTGTTTTTTCTAGTAGTTGGTAAGACACATTTTTTTCTAGTATACTAATTTTTTAAATTAATTAAATAATCTCTCTCTGCCTCTCTCTCGCCTACATATAAATATTAATATATTATATATATATAAATAAATATATAATATTGCTTGTTTATTGAATACTGACACACAATTGCTGTAAAATACGAGTACAATCTTTCAATATTTTAAAGCGTCAACTCCATACTTTGCAAAACGTGCGATACTCCTTAGATGTTATTACTTTGAAAATATTATTGCGAGCGACGTATTTTCAATAACAACTTTCGTTTCAAATGTTCCAAAACTTTTGACATTTTGACTACTGGCATTTTGAAGATCTTAACCTATTAACTTCCATTGTCCTCATCAGAGAACTAACGTTATGATGCACGACTCAAATTGTTTTTTTAACAAATTTCATACCCTTAACCGGCAAAAATTGTGAAGGAAACAGCCGAGATCCCTAAAGCATTGTGTGCTGGGCATATCAATGACTTGCGATTGTTCGTATCTTCTACTAATAACATACCATTTACTGGATATGTGCGGAGTTACGACGGAGGGAGTCTTTCTGAATACACGAAACAACGTTTAAATTTTTACAAGCTCAAGCGTTTCTTAATTAGCAGTTTAGTTACTTCAAAACATCACCATGAAGATACAATTGATGAGGTGATAGTCTGGGGAAATGCCTAGAGCAAAACGAATTAAATGCTAATAAAGTATAGGAAATTTAAAGTACTCGAACAACTGAAGATCTTTTGTGTTAAGTAAACTGAGAAGTAATGAGGTTTCTAATGACTGAAATATTTAAGAACTTTTGAAATCTTGAACATAATGATTCGCAGTCAAAGCGAACTAACCAACCGTATTAAAAATCGCCAACTCAGAAGAGAAATAGACTAGAAAACACAGTATTTTATTTTGATTAGAGTAATTTCTTTGTACTCGGAAGTGCATTCTCAAGAAGTAATTTTATCCCGTTGTTAAATACCGCAAGACAACTCCATAGATTATCTCACTTTTGTGCGAATCTGGAGCAGGATTCCTTGGAGCTACACCGCAAAAAAGGCGCAAAGCGACTACCGCGACGGGCTTTTGTGAAATGCCAATGCGACAGAAAATTAAAATCTTAACATCGCGGTTTACGCCTGTCAGATAAAGTAACCCCCACCCTCCCTGCTTCTTTGTGTGAAGCCGGAAGGCATCTTCTGCCAAAACAGCGCCGTCCTTGTCTCACGCTGAGCTGCTATCCTAGCTGTACAGTGTGCCTCAAAAGAACAAGCCGATTGTCGAAAGGGCCTTATAATTGGTAGGGACTGTTCTGAATACTGCAAAAACTACGATGGTTATTTATAAAATCAGGGATTAAATTAGGGAGATTACGTGGGCGACGAAATTTCACGAAGATAAAATTCCGTTTAATCACATGTAGGTATGCAGTATTCTATTTTTTCATTCAAAAATAGGTTACAAATTCTCTATCAACTTTGTAAGACATTACCTTGCTTTATTAGAAAATATAAAAATTAAGAAAAACAATCTTTCTTAGTTCAATAATAAGCGAAATCGTCTAGGTGTTTTATTCGATCAGACTACGAAAATTCAGTGGCAATGAAAGATGTAACTCATTGTTTTTGTTGTTCTTGCAGGCTCTTTGGCCAGGACAAGAATAGTTCATGGACAAGAACGGGTACAAAAATGTGTGGGTAGTTTCTCAAAAGCAGCGACGTATGCTCGAAACAGAACTAATGGAGAGATTATCCAGTACAGTCACTATTGAGGAAACTAGATATCACTGCTGGAGGACATAAGCCGCAGATTCAAGAGGTAGAGTTAGATTCTCCCGTTGATAAAATACTAGGTGAAATGGAAAATTCGATAAAAATATTATCGAAAAAATATAATTATCTTTGGATCGAACGGAAATTCAGTTCATAAAAAAGTATTATCTTTGGATCGAACAGAAATTAATTTTATTTATTTAGTCATAATACGGTAGAAACTGTACGTCACGTATGAAGAAGAAAATATCGGGATAATGGGATCTTCACCTTCGTCTTGACGGCAGAGGACCCCTACGTCCTTGAGCTTCAGGTAACGATGGCTCAAATGGTTCATCTTTCAGAACAGACGATAGTTTTCGTCCCTGTCCCTCTCTTTGAGATCATAGCCTCCGGGAACATAGTCTGGGATGAACTGGCTGGAGTCTCAACTGTAGTTTCACTCTGGGTCACTCGAAGTTTTAACTGTAAAGTCAACCTGTTTAAAGATGTCAGCCTTTAAAGGTCAGATTCCACTTGATTTGAATCCTCCTTTTCTGTTCTCCACGGAAGCGATCTTAGAAAAGCCATTATTAAAAATCTCAACCTCCTCGTACGGAGTCCTTCTTTTCAGAGGACCAGCAGTTTTGACAAAGAGATTTCTTTCTTTGTTGGAGGCCCATTTTAAAGTTCTGTAAACAGATCAAGGTACAGTGCACGCTGCGACGTATAAGGGGGTAAAGCCAACCTGGTCGCAGTTTCTCTTGCTAGACTCATACGATTCTGGGATGATGTGGCTAGTAAGATAATATAATACCGACAAAACTGACTTTTCTTTCCAGCAAAATGATCTAGCTATTGAACGTAAACCATTTCGTTGCTCCATCCATTCGAAGTGCATACGTATACACTTCCTTGGGGTTCATTTTTTCAGCAATTTTGAATTAAGCTTTTTCGCGAATTCAGAAAGTTATGGTGTAAAAGTGCCTGCCCCACTCACCGCGCATAACACCACTGTTGTTTTTCCATTTTTTTGCACTTATCAAAGCTCGTATTCTTTTTGTCCCTCGACAGCAAGAGCTTTTTCAGGTTGATGCACAGTGGTCACACAAGTTTTGTCAAAGTCAAACTTTGCAGATGCAATAAATTTGTATGGTGCCATGACATTTTCCAGGTTACGAAAGAATCGTTGAACTACTTCCTTGTTGAAACGCACAATGAGGTTGAGGATAGCGGCCTCTGCTCTTCGGATGTCACTTTTGGGATTTCTTTCCAGGAAATCTTATGCAGTGTAACTTGTAAAGCACTTCAGTGCTGATCTTAGAATAAAGAAATTAAAAAACAACAAGAAATATTTCTTACCTCTCTTCTCTTATCTCTCCCTTCTTATTTCCCTTTCTCTTTACATCACTTTCTTCTTCTCTAATACCTATTCTCGCGCTCTCCCTTCTTATTTCGCTCTTCTTCTCTCTTCCTTTCTCCCTTTCTCTTCCTGCCTTTTTGTCCAACACAAACGCGTATTTTCCACAAGTCGTATCGACTCCCGTGCCGGCCTAAGTTGAGTTGTTCGGTAACAAATATGACGAGCAGGAAATACGGCGGCGAGGGGCCGGCGCCTTCGTCGGGGCGGCAGCGGCGACCTCTTCTCTTCTTATTTATGGCACCCGCGATGGCTGTCGATGTTTCTTTATGGAGTCTGCGCGACTTCGCGATGATTTGTGCTCATAAAAGAATGGATAGTGCGGAGGACCAACTTTACAACTCCATTCATTGATTGCGGAGCAGCTGTAAAACTGATTCTGCATCGCCAGATCTGGCGCCAGACTCCGTTCGCCGTTTCGGAAATAAAGACATCTCGTGGCTTTTAAGTAAACATTCTGACGGAGCAGAGGAAGTGAAATGTACTATATTTAGGTGGATATGCTTTAGACCTTGAATATGCCATTTTATTTGGTTGTAAATGTCAACGTTTGTGCACATGTACGTAACCAAATAATATGAAAACTATTACGTTTATCTCTTTGGTAAATCATTTGTAGACGGGAAAATAAAGGCAAGAGAAAAATGAAAGTACGTGATCATAAGTGACTAGTTCAATGCAGAAATCTATTTTCGGATCCAGAGACTTCTTAAGCAAAGTCTCCACAAATAACTTTTATTTTGTCTCTTTTATGAGGGGTACAGTCATGGGAGTCTGTCATGTGAATGTTGGGGGACATCAAAGAAAGTGCCTTTATTGATAGCCACAAAAAATTTCATAGTGGCCTGCAGCAAAAATGCTCATGCACAAAACCACAAAAATAATTGTAGTCTCAAAAGTAGCAAACATTGTGCTGACGAACAACAAATAAAATATTCAACTGCAGTAAATTATAGCTATTGACACACCTAGTAGTGTTGTGTGTGTTGTTATTGTAGAGACCAAAAGTTAAAAATCAGGGCGGCGCGTAGCGGAGCAGGGATGAAGGTACTGTAAATACAAAATTTGGATCACTTTTTCACAGAATTTTTTTGAATTTTCGGAAAACTTCACTAGACGTCATTTGAAGCATATTAATTAACGAATACAGTAGTGTTTACAAATAGCTGGCAATGTGAATATTAAAGGAGAGAGAGATGTTTAAAAAATTACATTTCAGTAATTTTTGAAAAATCGCGGATTTTTAAGTTTATTTTCGTAGGAAAATGTTCATCTTTCGACAAACTTTACAACACACCATTTTAAGCACATGTACTCATAAATGCAATAATGTGAACAAATCGACGCTAATGTAAATATTAACCTAGTGAGATTACATGTTTGTAATTTTTGAAAAAAAGCAACAACAAAGAAAAAGCAATAGGGCGTTTATGTCAGAGTACATCTACCCACAAAGTTTAAAGAAAACATTTGAAGTCAGTTTTGAAAAAAATATAGTTTTTATAATTTTTTTAAAAATGGCATAGGTTGCACTCAATATTGCACGAAAACTACTATTTTTTTTCAAAAAATGTACATGACGTTAATGAAATGTGTATACTTGTGTTGTGTGATAAGTGTGAACTCCTGTTATTTCTGCTAATTTTTTTTCGGATTGAAAGAAAAGAACATCTGGCTGTGTTACTATCATTAGTTCTCCCTTACCCTTGCTTAGGTTTGTGAATAAATAATCCAATTTGCGTTTTCAATTTCATCCGCACATGTTTTTTCGGAACTTCATTTTTTTTTCTCTCCCCTTAGAAGCAATTGTTAGAGATGATGCTCATAAGAAACATATATACACATAAAATACATTTCAAGAATCTAATCCAAGTATGGAGTACTGAAAGTCCAAACTCCATATTCTGTCTTTGACTGGAGTCCTTAAAGCTTTCTCAATATCATTAGTCTTTGGACGTCAGTCCACAAATATGCAATTGCACTAGATTTCTGGTTTGGATCAGTACATAAGACTTTTCTACTTAACTTACTACATTGTACCAGTGTGGTCTAAAAGTAGTAGTAATTTTACTGCAGAAACTGTATCAGCAACAATAATTGCTTCGTTTTGCGGGAATTTTTCTTCCAGGTTGCACTTTCTCTTGTTTTTTCTTCTTATTGCGTTTAATAACCCACACACAGAGTCCTCTTTGTTAATAAAGAGCTCTCACTACCAGTAAATGAAGGAAGAATAAAAAAAAAGAGTATTGTAGATAGAAAGGCTATCAAAACCAGGTGTGCAACATAATAAACAAAGTACCTTAACACAAAAAGGGACAAACATGGGCTATCTTTGATTAATGGTTTGAAAAGGAGGCGACTTCCAGAATCAGATTCAGTTAATATCATCACCCGAAAATGTCCGCAATGTAACTAAAAGACAATATGAAATATATGATTTACAGTTTTCCCCGTTGTGACACGTGAAGTTTCTACTTAAAATTTCCAAATTATTCTTTGAGAAATATGTTTTTTAGTAATACAGATTTCAAGTACACACCTCGAAGTATCTTGTGCACAGCACGTGCGATTCTGCTACTCTAGAGACCAAAACTATTTACATCGTAAAAGACTCCTCTCTTCGAGCGAAGAAGTGCGCCGCGCAATGCGTGTGTTAATTAAAACTTGCACTGCGAGGAGTGGCGGGATTTTCTCCTCCTATCCTAATTGGGGAACGATGAGGAAATGTTTTGCTACCCATTTCATATGAAATGGAGCTTCTGGTGAATATTCTGATTTTGGACATTTTGCCACTTCCCCTCCTCTGACCCCACTGGGTGACGTTCGAAACACCAACGTTCAGCTTCCTTGACAGTGCTGTAGGAACAAGGCGGAATAAACACCTTTTCTGATACTGACGCGTGGATTCATTGGTGTTTCCATGACAATCACTGAAGTAAAATCATGTCTGGGTTATCTACAGTATTATTTCGATGATGTAACTCAGAATTCTTTTGGAGTTAGAAACAAAGTAACATTTAATGGGTACTTTTATTTCATGTTCCTTTGACATTCAATTATTTCCTCTAGAATACTACCAAGCGTGCATTGTTAGTACTGTAGATGGCATATTCATGTTTTCACTCTTAAAAGTAAATATCATCTGAGTGTTAATCATTAGGGGGCGAATTCTGATGATATAAAACTTCTCCAAAAATGATCAATAAAATGCTCTTAAAATGTTTTTAAAATGCCCTAAAAACAAAGAAAAATAGCGTAAAAAACATGATCAAAACCAGCCCGGTTGAACTGGCTGTTGGATACGTTACTGATGTAATCGAGGCTTCTTCTATTCGTTCAAGTGAACTCAGCCTGTAAACTTTTATTTGCACGGTTCTTTACCAGAAAATCTTTCGTTATCCCGAAATCGGCTGAACCAACAATGGCGCTGACAGAAACCCTGGATTAATAATCACAATGGCCAACATTACAACTTCTGAGAGGAAAAATCGAATAGGCTACCAAGTCTCATTGTCAGAAATTCTTTGGAGAACATTTGTTTCATCTCGTTAATATTACTTGACGCAAGTGCCATTAAAATTATATTAAAATCGATGAAATCAGCAAAAAACGCATTAAAATGCCGGAAAAGGGTAAAAAATAACTTATTGTTCAAAATCGTCAAAAAATGCAAAAAAAAAAAGAATGATAAATATATGTAAAATGTTTTGTTATAATATAAAATGAATTTATATACTGAAGGGTATTGTTCTAAAGTGAAAAGAAAAAAAAAGACAGTTTATTAATTATTAAAACCCGCCCCCTTCAAACATGAACGACGTATTTTAATTAGTGTATCATCGGCGTGTTTACAAGTGCTATGCCGAGCAGGTGGCGTCGTGAGCGGTGGTCGTGTGAACTTGTAGAAGGATGTCTCTGCGTGGTTCTGTCGTGCGCCGCTAGTAGCACTGCAGGCACGCACGAGAACTGAAATTACCCCACATGGAAACATATTACATCGGTTCACATTTACATGCTCAAGTACCCCGGCAGGCAAAACTGTATTACATGCAAACTAAGAGGTGAGTCGTTGGAAGTGATACGTGTTCAGACCATAGAGGTTTAAGATCGAATATTTTAGGTTCTGTATCACCTTTAGGCCAAACATCTCCAAACGTTTCTCTATCAAACTTGAACAAACTTT